AAATGTGGTATGCAAGATGATGTTGTGACCAGGATTAAGAAAGGAATGCTTCGGTGGTTTGGTCACGTAGAAAGAATGAATGATAAAAGAGTGACAAAGCAAATTTATATGGCAGATGTGAACGGCCGAGTCGGGAAGGGACGCCCTAGAAAAAAGTTTGTCGACCAAATTGGCGATATTTTGAAAATGGGCCACGTTAGAAGTACCCTTAACCGACGAGCATGTATGCGTAGATATATGGATGTAAAGGAGGCGAAAGAGGTATGTCAGGATCGTGCCAAATGGAAGTCCGTAATCTCTGCCTACCCCTCTGGGTGACAGGCGTGAGTGTTTATGTTATGTAATAGGAGTTGCTTAGCTGTGAGCAATTGAACTTCTTCTGGGCGAAGCAGATAGTTTCCCAGATGTGTTACGTTTGCGCATTAAGGGTACACAATCAGTTAAGGTGTGCAGAGGCGTTTTTCCGTTAAGGAACAAAAACCGGCACATCCTTGAGTTGCTTAGTCCCAGGGTGGCCATGTGCTTTTTAAGACAACAGTTTACGGTCAGGGCTCTTGCCAGAATGCACAGTTTATTTTACTTAATCCCAAAGCTTTTGAAGCAAATTTTCCATCAAAAGCCCGGATTAAGGTTTTAAAATGTTTTAAGCCTGGTATATCAGACCAGATCTTAAGTGATTTATTGTGATAGAGTTTTAACGGTCAGTCGGGCTAGACTTTTTGAGATTCCACAAAATGGCTCGGTTCCAAATTGTGTGCTCTTTATCACAATAAAAAAATAAAGCCCTCCCGTGCGAACTCATCGACAAGTTCATTGCCTACAATACTCGCGTGGTACGGAACCCATCTTAAAACGACCCTGTAGTTACATCCCAAGGCGTTTAGACGGTTCACGCAGTCTACAACTAGTTTCGAGTTCACTAAGTTTTATAGATTACTTATATGATTGAGGTAATGTTTTTGCAGATTGATTTCCGCACACTGAAGTATGAAAAAAATTTCTGCCTGGAAGATAAGAGGGGAAGAATCTACCCTAATTCATACTAAGTTTGAATTTGGGGCATTCCTCCAGGGCAGTCCATTTTTGACCCATCGGTGTACCATATAAGGCTACCGACCTCACAGATAACCTGTCCATTCAGCCAGTCTTCTCTGCATGATAGTTCCACTATAAACTTTTTATTAAAAGTGTATAGTGGACGCATGATATCTGAGATCATGCAAAAGACCCGAGTTTCCTTAATTGAGTCGAGTATTTATCTCAATTTTAAGGAAAGCCTATACAAACTAGCCCTCTGGTCTAAACTCTAAATAAATATCAAGGGGCGTTAGGCTCAGAATTGCATTAAGAGCTGCTCCAGGCGATGATTGCTTTGCTCCAGTTGCCATTAAGCAGGCTGTTATTTGTAGAGTATTTAATCTGGCCGCAGTCGTCTCTTGGTTGGCCTTATTACACCATACAATGGAGGACAGCCATAGGATCATACTGGGACGCAAGCCCCAGTTGTTCCCAACCATACGACTGCACGTACCTAAAACAATTTTAGCCGTGTAACATACGTTGCTAAGATGAGAGTTCCACGTTAGGTTTTGGTCGATTGTTACGCCCAAATATTTAACTTTTTCGATAATTATAAGAATTGGGCGTTACCATGCGGTAATCCATTACCTATATTGAAGTTGTTAGAAATTAATTTGCTCATTTCTGCGTAATAAAATACAATGATGTGTCCTGCCCAGACCGAAGAGCACCCACCTCCCACCCTTCCTCAGTTGCGTGCACTATCCCCTTCACCACCACCACTCCTAGCGCCACCTCTCCCAGCACCATCACACTATGAATGACACACCACCCTTGATAATACGACATGTGTTTCGCCTCTACATGAGGCATCCTCAGATGAAGTAGACTCGTCACCACTAAACCCATCACCACCACTCCTAGCACTCTCACCGCTCTCCACACGCGGATTATATTTTTTTTATAGAAGAGGGTGGCAAACGAGCACACAGTCCACCTGATGGTAAGAGGTTACTGTGGCCCATAGACATTCACACAATATATTATATTTGATTACGAATCAAAATGCGGATGCGTTGTCACCCGTGAGGACTAAGACGAATGCCTCGTTTCCAGTAAAAAGGGTCTCAAGTTCTCTACACTCACCATAAGAAATGGCAGCATCAAGCTACTATTTAACGCTGGCAATTTTTATACAACTCGTTGATCTGGGAGTTGTATAAATATCAATTTTTTCGGCTTACTGCTCTCTGCTCTCTACCGCAGAGGCTACTTCACTGTGGATGCCTCGTGTAGAGGCGAAACACCTATCGTATTATCGAGAGTGGTGCGTCGTTCCTAGTGTCGTGGTACTGGCAGTGGTGGCTACGGGGATAGTGCATGCAATTGAGGGGAGTTGGGAGGTGCTCTTCAGACTGGGTAGGACACAAAATTTTATTTTATAACGCGAATATGAGGAAATAAATTTGTAATAGCTTCAACCACATGGATTGAAAAATGCCCGAGAATATTGAGTCAAATTCTGGTTCGAACACCCTTAATTTTCCTGCCATGTTCTCACCATTGTTGTGCCCCTGACTTCGACTATTATTTAATTGAAGTCTAAGTCAAACACTTGTACTATTGCATCAAGAAAGAGGCCAGTAAGTCCTTTTTCCGAAGAGTCACTTACTGGCTTGCAAGCAACAAAATACTCGTATTTTGACTTCCTAATTAGCGTCTACAAAACGGAATGTTACTGATAAGAGGGAGTGAATTGGTGACTGGTGACCGGGGGTAGCGTTTCGGGTGATTTCGGCGCTCCCCCGATGACGGCGCCCTGTGCGGTCGCTAGGGCTGCCACCGCATACAAGTTATGGTAAGGTGTCCAAATAGCGCATCACATTTGTGATTTCCCATATTCTTCAAATTAAATGGTACGTATACTTATAATAATCTTTATATATATTCTTCTAATCTTCTGTCCGTGTATGTTGACTGAACTCCCCTAAAAGCCTGGACAGATTTTGATGTATGTAATTGATTTGAGATTTGATTGAATTTGTTGCGCTGTTCTCGCGACCCAGAAATCACCCGCGCGAAACCGAGACGGATAACTAGTATAAATATAATTTAATCATAATTATACATACAGGTTGTTAGTGTAAACACCGTTATCCTTGAAACCAGTGGTTTGGTTTCACTTTTAGAACGTAAACGACGACGAACGAAAAATAACATTTTTTTTTAGTAAAATCTCAATTTTTCCTTAATTCCTCAATTTTTGCCTGTCCTAAGCCAGGATGAAAGTATGAAGAAAAAGTTACATCACAGGCTATGTGTACCTATTGTGTTTTCATTGGAATTTTGTGTAGGTAGCTAGCGCGGGCGGTGATCTTTACAGTGATTACGTCACTCGCGCGCATAGGGTATCCGTGAATTTACGTTCTATAAATGAAACCAAACCACTGGTTTCAAGGATAACTTGTATATTAATATCCTGACTGGCTGTGGTGTCCAGTTTCAACGGACTCTAGCTATCCGCGCAGAACAGGGTTATAGTGCTAGAGTGTGTGCACAAACATAAAGAGTGTACACTCCATACCCTCACTAACATAATCCGATGGGACAGCAATTCGACAGGATCGGATATCAGACGCAGGACCAATGGCTTTGTGCTTTTCGAGGCACGAAAATAAAGTACCGTCAACTTCGTGATTTTTTTTATAAAATAAGGGTAACAAACAAGCCAACAGTCAACCTGATGGCAGGCAGCTGCTGTAGGCCATAAATATCTACATTAATTTATACCTGATTAAAAATCAAAATACAGATACATTGTCACCCCTAAGGACTAATATGTAATGCCTTATTTGCAGTAAAAAAGGGTCTCAGATTCTCTACTCACCATGCGAAACAGCAGTCTTAAGCTGCTATATAACGTTGGCATTCTATGGGAGCGTGATCTTATCCCGGTCGAGCCGACCCGTTCGACCTACAACTAATATACATAGCTGCAGCCGTAACTACCACGTAAGCCGACCCAGTAAGTCGACTCCAGTTGCTACTGTGAATTTTCTGACAGCAAAACTTAATAAGCGATTTTTGACCCAACCCTGATCACATGGTGGCAGTCGAGCAAACGACCACTAGATCGACAAAGCAGTAGTTGCAGAAATTATAAAATAGCAATGTAGTGCTGCCAAAATAGGGGATTTTACGTCTTTTCACCTCGCCTCAAAGTTATTCTAGACCATGAAGGATATAGATGAAAGATTTATCGCCTGTTTTTAAATTAAATATTCTTTAGCAGCCTTTTTCAACGTACTGTTGCTGCGGCAGTTGACATTCACACCTAACTTGAAATATACCACTATTCACCACGTAGGTTGAGCGAGTTAGTGAGCAGACCCAAGCATTGGTAATACGAGCAGTATTACCTCTACCCCTTACCCAGTCCCAAGATTTGGCAAAGGCATTTTCGAATGGATATGTTATGGACCAAGTGATTAATAGGGCATTATTCATAATGCCCAATATGTGTAAACAATATGATAAAAACCATTGAAGAATTTAATTGACTAGGCTTAATGTTTAAGTTAACTGGTGTCATTACCTACATACGAAATTTTATGAACATATATTTTTGCATGAATTCTGAATACACAGGCAAAAAAATAAAAATTCTAAATTTCACTTATTTGGTTTCAGTGTCCTTAATATAATAGTCCCCTAAACTTATTTCCTTTTCAAAAATTGATAGGTCGAAGGATATGTATAAATTACATCTTATATTGTCTAAGTAAAAACTCTAAGATACAAATATATATAATGTGTGTATTATTATACAAATTTTATAATTATCAATATTCACAAATCCACATCATGAAACCCACAGCAGTCCTATCAATGCTTCTCTGTTAAATCTTTAAAACTCTGAAAATGCTTGAGTTTACCGAGCTAGGGGTCTACTCCGAAGATTTCCTAGCTCGTTTTCGTCGTTATATATCAAATCTTTCAAAAGCCAATGCTCTTCCCTCCTCTTCATATTCTTCCTTTGTCATGCAAAATGAATAGAATTCAGGATCTTTAAAAATATGTTTTCCACCCTCCCATGCATATGTTAAAGGATTTTCAGCGAGAGTAACATTGACATCATAGTGATCTAGTGCAAATGCTCGGACTTCATTAAATACTCTATCTCTAAAACCTGGAAAAAGTGTACTTCCACCATACAATATTATATTTTCTAGCAGACTTTCCTTATTCTCTTCTGGACAAGCATCTATTGAATTTATTATTGCTTCTGGTATTCCCATTTGAGGTATACCAACATCAGAAGGATGAAATAAAAGTTCCGGTATGGAAAATCTTTCATTGTTGAGACGTAAAGTTTGTTGTTCCAAGTCCTCATCAGGTTTTACAATATCACGTAAATAGCCACGGCGAATTGTTGTGTAATCTGGCAAGACATAGTCCTTAACAATTGTATTTTCAGAACCTGTAATAATAAAAATAAATTTTGTATTCATAAAAATGAAAAAAAAAAAACTATTACATATAATATTAAACAACTTAATTCAATCCCCTGTATGAAGCGACTTCTGGACATGTCAGCAACACGTGAGCCGCCGTTTTTTCCTCTCCCATGCATGCCCTGCACAGGGGGCTATCAGTAACACCTATGGTATATTTTTTTGTCAACCCATATAGAACTCAAAAGAAATTATCTCTTCAAACTGATCAATCAATTTTATTTACATCATGAGTAGATATCCAACTCAAGTCCATGATATTTAAATAAATGAAATACAAGTAGATAACAAATACACCTAATATTAAATAGTTTATATGATAGTACCCGGTTGACCGAGCTTTGCTCGGTATTTTTCGCTCGGTTTTTTTTTAATTCGTGTGTTTTGGAAATATTATTTAGATACAAATTACATACTGATGAAATACGAATAATATGTTTTGATGTTAGCGACATAATAGAAAAAACTGAACTTGTTATTTGAATAAAAAATCGTGAGTGCAATTAATTTAATTAAAATTTTCGTGTTTTTAAAAAAATACTAAAAAAAGGGCTCAAAAAAATAGATTTTCTCAAAAAAGAAAAGGAACTTGAAAAAAAAAGTAGGTCGGTAGGGCTCGAACCATGGTATTACGATTTTGTGACCGCCCAATATACCAATTAAGCTATTTGTAATCATTAATAAACTGTCAAAATTTACCTTCTTATTCTAACGATATTATAGCAGTTTTTCATTGCCTAAAAACACGGACAAAAAGACATTTTCTAAAAATAAATCCTAGCTAGATCGATTTATTGCCCCCGAAACTCCCTGTGATTCATTTAAACATATTATAATCTATTAAACCCGGACCAGGACGCAAATCTGGCATCTAATGATCAACATTTGTGTTTATGACAGTCACTACTGTAGCCACTTACCATCGGGTAGACTGCAAGTTGATTTATCACTTTTATTTTATATATGGAAAAAAATTGAACTATTTACCGCCTTAAGACCACTATTATAGATTTGAACATTTTTAAGGTCCTATGCTGACAATGTCCTAGGTAAAAGCCATAAAAAAATTAATGAAAGGAAGTACAGGGTTGAGTTTGAAATTAAGTCACCTGAATTTGAGGATTCTATCACTATGGGTGCTCAAGGGGTCTATCTGAAGCACCTCCATGCAATTTTTGCTGCCGGAGCAGCATCAAAGTATTTTTAATTATTTTTTAAAAATATTGGTAAATCACTAACTAAATGTGAAATGGAACATACATTTAACTAAATTCTAACATTTTTGACATTGCATCTGTCAAAATCATCTCAATATGCATAAAATGAATAGCTAAGGCAGCTATTTTGTTGACAGTAACAGATATACTTTATGTCATTCCATTGTTTGTTTTTCGAGTTTATGTGAATGTGCTCCTTTTATCTACTTTTTGCACTTGCTACCCTTCTGGTCTTTTTTACATATGGTTGTAGCTCTAAACTATATTTATAATTTAAGTAGTTATAAAAGTTAATATTTCAGAATTTTATTAGTGTAAGAGCGAAATGAGCTCGGAACTTATTGCACCCCGACCCGGACAGGTTAGGTTAGAAGGTGATGATCCTCATCATGGTTATTTTTTATAAACCACTCAGAAACAGTAGCACCTAATGAGATTTTTAAAAATTTATACTAAAAAACTAAGCACGTCTGGCAGGTGGAGGAAATGGGGGACAATTCTACAACTACTCCGGCTCTCTCCCCAACACCCCCCCACTTCGATATTCAATTGTAGGCGACTTAATATCAAACCTTACCTGAAGTAAATAATCTTAAATATTTTAAAACATACCCTTTTTTTTGGCAATTTCCATATCACCCATGAAATCTTGTGATACAAAACAAGAATCTTCTTTTACCTGGTTTATAACATAGGTCTCATCCATTACATTTAGTTGCCTGTATGACAATATTTCTTTTAAATGATTTGTTAAAACTTTACCACCAACATCTATTCGTCTGATGCCTTCTTTATACTTCTTTCCTTTTATATAAGGGACTATATAAGTGAAACTGTAACCAGAATCAACTACCAAAGTGCTTTCATTACTATGCAGCTTTCTATAATGGTACTCAGCTAAATCAGTAGCATTTATCCTTAAAAGTGATTGACATTCATACTCTTCAAAGAAAATTTCAGTCATAGCTTCTTGTATTGATGAAAAATTGAATAGAGGTTCTGTTATTATAAGAGGAACTTCACTAAAGTTCACTGGGCAACATTCCTTACTAAATATATAATCCCAAACTGTCTTTTGTGTGTCCCAGTTGACGAGGAAGCCTTTTTGAAAAGGTAGAATGTAATAAAGACCTGATGCATCCCTACATTCGTCAATCTGTGATCCAATAAAAGGACGCCGTCTTTCAGATTTTGCTTTCATTATGCAATTGGGCACAATTTTAGGTTCCATATAAGAGAAACCGACTTTAGCTGTATATCCTCCATTATCGAGAATGTAACATGAAGTATCAGACATATTAAAATCTATGGAAGATGTTGAAAGAAATCGCTGTTATCATAATCTTATACAACAATAAACACGTAATATCATAGATAAATAATTGTAGCAAGCGTAATATCATAATCTTAGCCTATATTAAACACTGAAAGTTCATGGTAGGGATAGACCAACAAATTTAAATTTTGTGATTGTGGTTGTACATTTTATGATTGTGGTGTATTAGATAAATCCACAGATTTTTTTTATTTAACTGGCTTTACGGCTCTGGGTTCTAGCCTTTCTGAGACTATCATTTCTTTCGGAATCTTCATTTTTATATATTTTTTCGTTACAATGTGCTTATGCGTTACATTGCGAATATTTGGGAGATTTTGACGACAGCTCAACCCAGCGGACAGTTAATGACGACACTCAAGTTCATAAGGCGCCCAAGCGATCAAAATAACTTGAGGTTTATATCGACATCAAAGCACTTTTTCCGTCGTTTTCTCTAATAGTTCACACGCGCGGACACTTAATTCACAAAATCGCATCACTTTTACGAATCAAAATTCACTTTAAACTATTATTCAAGCGACAAAACAGGAGCGACAATGCGTCTACGGCTAAGTTCCCGCGAAAACTAATCCACATATTTTTTTATTTAACTCATTGGGTTATACAACACTAGAGGAGCAAACCGCATTACCGTGCGTCGAAAAAAGTGTAACCACTATCCAAACGCGACGACGTAGCTTTGAAACTAATAAAAATTTTAAGTAAATATATATCTATCTCACTTACACAAGTTGCGAAAACAATATCGTCGCTAAGATCAGATAAAGATAGACACACAAATATGCAATGGCGGGTTGGTGTGGCTTACTATATGAAATTTTACCTAAAATACGCAATAAAAATGAGTTTTTTTTAAGCTGCAGTTAATTGTTTTTATATAAAAAAAGTATATTTTATTTTAAAATGTTTATAACGTCCCCTTAGAAAAAAAGGATACAAAGCTTATCAGATGAATAGAAGTAAACATAATGATGAAATACAACGTATTTTTATGGTACTAATAAATCAAACAATATAAAATAGTTAATAAAATATATTTAATAGATAATTCAGAATAAACTAAAATAAGAATAATTAATTATTTTGTATGAAAGTAAAAACGTAGTTTTTATTCTAATTTCCAAAATATTTAAAATCAGAGGAAACAAATTAACTTACTCCATTAATTATACAGTCTCCCATTAATGTAAGATAATCACAAATGCGGAAAAGTGGCAACATTGAACCTAAACGGCAATATTCGATAATTGTATTTAATTATTTGAGGTTTTTACGTTTATATGAAAACTAGAACTAAAAATTATGTGTTGAAAGTGATTCCGCTTGATTTATTACGTTTTTGTGATCTTGAACAGCATTCTTTCACTACGCATTTACCCATTTTTGTCGCGGCTCAACTCTGTCGGCGTCACATTAAACAATGAACTCACGTTAGCTAGGTATATGGCTGTGGCCATATGTGCAGTGGCAACGCTTTGGCACGGTTATTACTGATCTAGTGTTATATAAATCAATGATTTAACTGGTTTTATGGCTCTGGATTCTAGCCCTTCTGAGCCCATCATTTCTGTCAGAATCTTCAATTTATATGTATAATTTTTTCTTCACAATATGCTGATGCGTCACATTGCGAAGCTTTTGGAATATTTTGACGACAGCTCAACCCAGCGGACTGTTGATGACAACAGCCACTCAAGTTCATAAGGCGTACAAGCGATCAAATTAACTTGAGGTTTATATCAACATTAAAGCACTTGTTTCGTCGTTTTCTCTAATAGTTCAGACGCGCAGACACTGACTTAATTCACAAAATCACATCACTTTTACGAATTAAAATTGACTTTAAACCATTATTCAAGCAACAAAACAAGAGCGACAGTCCGTCGACGGCCAAGTTCCCGTCAAAACTCTTAAATCCACAGAGCACAGATCACAGCATAGATAAGCTAGTATAATCACAGTCTACGATATTAGGATTATAAGAGTATACTACGCATGCACAGACAACAGACTACTTTTTTTATAGAGGAGGGGGCAAACGAGCATGCGACTCGCCTGATGGTAAGTGACTACCGCCACCCACGAATAACCGCAACACCAGGTGAATTGATTATGATTATATATTGACATAGGCAATATATTTATGAAAATAACAATAGTTTTTGTTTCATCCAAATTGGTGCAGAAATACCGACAGAAAGTTATAACGTTTTGAAGTTTCGCTAATTTTTAAATTTTCTGTCCGCTCCTTCACTGTGACGTGACGTCACAATTCGACAGCGAGCGGGCAATAAGTATTAGCTACTAACCGCGCCGCTCGGAAGTAGATAATATACTGTCGTTTACCTACATATTATTATATACTAATGTATTGAACATTTAGCTTTTATATGATTATATTTCTATTTATATGTATAGTCACGGTGTGTAGTGCTGTAAAAAAAATGGAAGCGGGCTTTAAAAACGCACAGACAGATAATCTGCCAAAAGTGGATATTTTTATGTTTGCGTTGTATTTTTCTGAAAATAATTATTTTTTATCATTAGAAATGCAAGGAATAAATCTCCAAAGTTACTAATAAAAGATTACAAAAAGTATACAGCTTTACCATTGATTAGTAGGTTTACGTACTATAGGTATTTAACTGACCGAACCGCGAAGTTGCATGTGATTAACAACGACATAATATGAAAGAACTTACTTAAACTTACTAATCGAATGAATATTAATCAACTCGTACTATTATTTAGTACGTTTTTTACATGTGGAAACAATGACGGGTTATGTCGGATTAGCACCGACTAAAACCCCATGGTGTTTCACCTTCGTCGCATATAAGCAGGGCCACGGGAACGCTTTTGCACACATCTTCAGCCCCACCAGCGCTGGTCGCCCCCTTCTCGGGAGAGGACTACTCCTCCCCATCTCCTTCTTAGTCAAGGCGCTCCAGAACTCTCTTCCGCGGCGTCCATCTTCACATGTGCTACAGACGCACTGGTGTCCGATGCAGAAAGGCCATGAGACCAAGAAAAACGAGCACTCAGAATCACTAGCCTTCCTGACCCCAGCAGCGGATCTGGCCTATGCTTTCGCCGCCAACCAAGATTTGGCTGCGAAGGGTAGGGAGAGCGGTGCCTCGCAATACGGACATCCTCCCCCACCACCACCGCATCAATTAATGGTGCGGCGGTGCATTGCCATACCAACACTCTCCTTCCTCCGTGACTCCACCTTGACTGCAGCAGTAGGGGGAGAGTGCATCCCTCTCGCCACAGCCTGCCAACACACATCCGAAGTGGGCTCGCCAATCCCACTCGGAGTGCCCTCCTCAGGCTGGTCCTACACCTCAGGCCAACCATGTGGGTTTCTCTTATTTCACCGCGGGTGACCAAGCCACGGCTACTAAGCCCCCCCGCCACGATAAGATGGAGAATCCGTTCGGGGGGGGGAGAATTAGTATCTAGTGACACGTGAAAAATTTTTGTTGGCTACGTAGTTCGTCAGTGGTTGCAAACATTGGTCCTAGGTTTACTTTGACTTACTTTTGAACAAATTGATTGCGTTATTACGTTGGTAGTTGGTGCCTATTGTATTTTAAAAATGCAGTCGTCGCAAATATTCATGCGTGCAACACTAAACTGATTTGGATAAAATTTTGCATAAAGGTATAACACCATCTTTAGGATTTTATCTTCTCGTAATATAAGATCTACAACAGTGCTAGACTAGATATCTACTCGCGCATGCCACATGTATATTTTTCTCTGATCTGCTCGTCTTATGACCTTCAATCACTTTTTTCTTATTGCATCCTTTTTTGGGACATTAAAAAACAGCTTGCAGGTGTTTTTTCATTTAATTTGTACACAGAGGTACATTGCAATACTTTCTGACCATGTTTAATGTCTAGAAAATGCGCGTGTCTCGAAACGAAACGGGTAGCGGAATAGCGAGACGGCAACCGAGTGAGCGAGCGTGTCGAATTGTGACGTTACATCGCGGTGCGGAGCAAAGCGATCGCCCATACCGTAAGACACTCGTCAATATTTTAGTAATTTTCATAGGAGAATAAAATAAAAATACCGTTAAATTCGTAATTTTTATACATATTTTTCATACCCTTAACGAAATTGTGTGGTAAGAACCATTGTTACTTTTGTGCTTTTTAACGATAAATTTACGTCTAGAGTACATTATTCACAATATATGAATTTTATAAAATGTTACAGAATGCATAGTAACTGATAAAGAGTGGTATACTAACGAATAAAAAGACAACACTGGCATTTTCGTTCCACTATCACTTTGAACCCTAAAACGCTACACCGCACTAGGTTTAAAAAAATAGTTAAAATGCTAAGTCTACATCGTCACAACAAAATATTATACGAATTACTTAACATAAAGCACGTAAAACTGTATTTTATTAAAATACGATATCTCGCTATATGTTAGCTGTCATTTGTTAAGCAAAGTAGTGTGCTAACCTCGGAAACACGGCAAGCTCAGTGAAACGAAAAATCACGTCGTTCTATTTCATTTCTATATACGACATCGGTGTAAGTTGCTCTTTCTCTTGTGTGACTGCCACAAAAGATATCAATTTGTCTATAGCATTCTCTGTCTGCGGTGGAACCACATTTAGTGATTTTTATTTATATATTTTTTTATAGAAAAACTGTTCCGTAGGGAGATATTTTTGACCTTACAGCGTGGAATAACAAATTTAATACGAATTACAGATTATTTTGTAGGAATGATAAGGATCATGTAATTAAGTAATTGTGCATCTACTTTAAAGGTTGTTTCATATTTTTGTAAAAAATTGCATATTTAGTTTTATCCCAGTGATACCATCTAC